AAGACGAGTGGCGGAATTGTTTCTTTTGTGACAAAACGCGGTTTAACCTGATATACTCCGATGGTAGGGTGTTAGTATGGAGGCAACCTGGGGAGCGATTTGCAGAAGAGAACATGGCTTGTCACGAAACCTTTAGAGGAGGAGGGTTCAATGTTTGGGCCGGAGTGATGTACAACGGTAGATCCGACTTATACATTTCGCGGGATACTGTTAACGCCGTAGTTTATCGGAATAACATAATACATATTGTTATTCCATATGCAGACCACACAGCGGAAATTGTTCAGGAGTTTTTGGGGAAACATAAAATACAACAGTTACAGCTATCTCCTAAATCTTAATATAATTGAGCGTGTGTGGTCTCGGCTTAAGTTGCTCGTACGATCACGCGAAAATGCTCCTCAAGCGCTAGACGAGTTGACCCTTGCCATAGAAGAAAAGAAAAGTGGCAAAATATCCCTCAGGCATTCATTAACCTCTTCGTTGACACTTTGCCACGGCCGGCGATGCCAAGAGATGGTGAATGTGAGGGGAGGGCCTACCCGCTATTAATTTTAAAACTTTAATTCTAAGTCGTTCTTAATTAATTTTTTTAGTTTATGTTGTTTATAGGGTTCGTAGGTACTAAGTACTATCCACTGAAATAAATTAATGTGGGCGCCACCTAGTTAATTATGACTCAACTAGGAAAATTTCTAAAAGTTATTGAATGCTGAAAACAGTATGAAAAACAATTGGAGATTGGAGGACATCAATAAAACACTATGAACCAATTTAATTATAATAAATTTAATAATAAAATTAGATTTAAATCTTCAGAGTGAAGTTCTAGAAAGATTGTAAAAAAACCTTGAAAATCATAGTACATTAACCAACAATGGTTAAAAGTACTTCCTGTAAATTAAATAAATATGTAGGTAACAGACCTAGAGAAAAAATATATTATTCAGGCCATGAACAATAAAACAACCTTTTTTTTTTAAATTATTTAAAATTCATATTTTATAATCTAATGAGTATAGAAATTTTATGATCCGCAATGACGTCATTACCGGTACCGAAATAATAATTAAACTAAGCTGGAGCATAGCTCAAACTATAATTTAAATGTGTGTGTACTAGTGTACCAAAACCTGACATCCATATAGAGTTTTCTGGAAGTGAGCTTTTCCCAAACCAGAATCAAGTTCCTGATACTTTTATTAAACTTTGGAGTTGTCCATAAGCAGTTGGAAGCTGTGCTAGATACCCCAAGACCAAGTAGCAAAAATGGAAGTTCTAACCTCCAAATTGGACCATGCTTTGAATCCAGTTTCACATCAAATTTTCGGGTTTCGAATAATGATCGGGCACAGAATCATATACCTCATTCAATCCCGCAGAATAGGGGTTTTTATATGCCCTAAACTTGGACCCTAAAATCAGAAAATATTTCCCTGCACATTTATAGCCAAAGGACAAAACCAAAGAATAAAATAATTTTCTGTGAAAACTTAGGTACCTACCTCTATGAATCTAGAGGGACCACAAGATTTTCAAAATAGAAAGACCCTTTCTGCCAAAAGGAATCTTTTTGCAATTCTCTACACGAGGGATTCAATCGTCGGCCATGTAACAATCCGGCATTCAAATTCAAAAAATTAAGGCCAGGGACGATCTTTTCTCTTCAGATTGCAAAGCCAAAGAGGACGAGCAAGCTGAAATTTTTCCTTTCGACCCTTCGGATTTTTGATTTACAAAAAAAAAGGAATCGCACCCAAAATTTTATATTTCTCTCCAATAAAGGAGAAGAAAAGAGACAATAAATCCACTACCAATAAACGGAACCGCAAATGACCAAAACAAACAAATGAACCCGTTCCGGTATTGAGTCCACTGCCCATGAATAATTAAACGACAGATGAAAGATGGAAATTCAAAATAGAATAGAATTGACGTGTCTCGTAATACCTGGTGTGCGCGCGCAACTCGTGGGTTGCAGGTGAGCATCCAATGAAAATCGAGTTTGTTACGGGCTTGCGTCATATTCGTATTCAGGGACAGGTTCAGACTTAATCGTTTCTTTTTTTTTTTTTTTTTTTTTTTTTACGGATATGCGCACTCGCAAGGAAATGTCCTATCACGCTCGAGAAGCGGCAAGTGCGCGGAAATGTCGGTGTATGTTGGTCTTGAAACGGTTCAGGTTGTAACCTGCAGGGAAAACCGTCGCAGGGAGTTTATTCCACAGCGATGCTGTTCTCCAGAGATATGAATTCTGATATAATGAGGTTCTTGGTACCTCTAGTTTGACAGTAAATTCATGGTTACCGTCTGTTTGACGGGTTCGCCTGGTAGGTGCTACTCTCGGTGGAATCATACGTGCCAACTCTTCAGAGCATTTTCCGTGATAGTACCTGTAGAAGAGAGATAAATCGCCCACAGATCTGCGATGTTCGAGACCATCCAAGTTACGAGTAAGTACGGGGTCATTGATCAGCTTGATAGCTCGTTTTTGCACGGTATTCAAAAGCATTAAGGTATGTTTGGGTGCTGCACTCCATATATGTGAGCAGTACTCCATAGTTGGTCGAATCTGGGCTTTGTAGAGTGTCAGCAATTGGCTTGGTGTGTACAGATGTCTTGTACGAAATAGCACCCCCAGCTTTTGGGAGGCCCTTTTAGCAATATCTGCCACGTGACTGTGCCAAGACATGTTGGTCTCTGCAGTAACCCCCAAGATGTTCAACTGAGTCTGTAATGTGACAGCACTTCCAGATAGCATGATGTTTGGCTCACCGGTGCTGGTCTTTTTTGAAAACAGAGCTGCTTGGGTTTTCTGCGCGTTGAACTGTACAAGGTTTTTGTTACCCCAGTCCTCTATTATCTCCAGGTCGTTATTTATCTGCGATATTTGAGTTAGTCTAAGATGATGGAATTCACGTGCGGAAAGACCTGTGGGTGGTATGAGTGAGGAGACTACATTGCCATCGTCTGCAAAGCAATAAAGTGGATTTACTGTTTTATCTATGAGGTCATTTATGTAAATCAGGAAAAGAGTTGGCGAAAGGATTGCTCCCTGTGGCACACCAGCATTTATTTGGTAAGAGTTGGAGTTCTGGCCATCCAGTGCAACATAAATGGATCTGTCCTTTAGGTAACTTTCAAACCAAGTGCAAAGTTTCGGCGATAATCCCATTGCTTTGAGCTTGTTGAGCAGATTTTCATGCCAAACTTTGTCGAATGCTTTAGATATATCTAAGGCAAGTGTTCTTGTTTCACCCCGCAACTCAATCGCTTTTTGCCATAAGTGAGTGACGTATGTAAGTAAATCGCCAGTTGACCTATATTTTCGAAATCCGTATTGCTTATCGTTGATAATTTTGTACTTTTCCAAGTACTTGGTTAGGTGATTGTTCACAACTCTTTCCATTACTTTTGATATCACCGGAAGTAGAGCAATTGGTCTATAGTTTAACGGATCTGTCTTTTTTCCTTTCTTTGGAATGGGTTGTACTGCGGCAGACTTCCATGATAATGGATATACTCCTTGCCTGTAAGACAAATTGAATAATTTTGCGAAAGTTGGGGTGAGTTCGTTGGCGCAATTTTTGAGTACTATTGCGGGAATGCCATCCGGACCCATTGCTTTGTTTGTATCCAGCTTTTTTAGGGATTTTCGTATTTCTCTGTGACAAAAGGGTACCTCTGGCATACTATGGGAAACCCTTTCAATGAACGGTGGAGTTTTTCCGTTTGGCACTGTTAGGTTGGAGTTGGAGGAAAACATTTGGGCAAGCATATTGGCTTTTTCCTCTGATGTTGTGGCTAAGTGATTATTTTTATCTGTAAGTGGTGGTATGGATGACTTGGTGAAGTTAGATCCAACAGCTTTTGCAAGAGACTAAAAAGACCTAGAACTACTTGGACGTTAATCGTTTCTTTGTAACGTGTAATTCGACAAGGAGCAAACTAATACTTTACGTATTACTTGAACTTATCCCAGTGTCGTTTAAAGTTATGTTAAATTATACTTGACATATTTTCATTGTGCGATATTGCCGGATGAAACATTTATCAAAATAAAAGTGCCATGGAGGTTAACATACACTTTAAAGCTCTTCTTTTGTCTGATTTATGGCGTTGTAAAACACTTGACAATATATCACTTCTTTAATGTTATAATGTTCGATTTGTATTGTCTACATTTGTTCTGCAACAATACAATCTGGCTACATTGCTGCCACGAGTTGCGCGCGCATGTCATTTTTTATTACTTTTTAACTTGTATTTATTACAATTAAGTTCTCTTTTTCTATTTCTGCGAGACACGTCAATTGACAAGAAGATGAGAGCGAAATGTCAAAACAACACAACCTGAAAATATAGAAAATTAGAAAATTAATTTCCATTTTCCAAACAAAACCTTGATGAAAACAACGGGAAAATTAGGATGATCATAGCAGGAATAATTAGACGAAGCAAGACAAGGTATGTTGCAATCAAAATCCTGACAATAATATACCCAACCTATGTGTGTGTTTACTTTCTAATAATCCTTTTATTTTCCAGAAAAACATTAGAAAACTACCAACCCAACATCCAAAAGATAGCCAAGACAAAACAACTTATTACCTAATTGAAAGCCAAAGTGAATTATGAAAAGGAAGGACGAGATCATGGAATTTTCAATGAACTTTGTCAACATATAGTTTATCCAATAAACTAATGAAACAATAACACGATAGAATGTTAATGCTTTACTTTTGAAATAAATGAAAACTAATAAATAAAATAGTTATTCTTTACTAGAAAGAAATAGTTTAAAACCGCTTGAAAACTTTTATAGGAAAATAACCATGGAAAAGGTTACAGTTGCATTCAAACGAATCAAACCAGAAAAAGTAGCATTACTTTGAGTTATAATTATTAATAAATCACAAATTTGAAAATGCTACATTGTTTTTGATACTCCCCCCATGCTATCAACCCATAATTCAAATGTGACTGTGCAAGAGCAAAATATAAGATTTTAAGTTGGGATAGGTTGCATATCGCGGCTGAGCTGGCAATATCTCCTATCTCGCATTTTTACGATTTTGAGCTTTATTGTGATATAGATACAGATGCACGTTCCGCAACCGTTAGTAAACATCTCCTATTGGCCAAAAATCTCGTTTGTTTGAAAATTTGGCCTTGAAATTTCTCCTATTAAAATGCTGCCCAAAAACAGTATTGCAATATCTCCTATTACACAGTTGTATTTGAGGCAAGTTGTTGTGTGTGTCGTGCTCCCGAATTTTCCTATTTTTGAAGCTAATAGTGGCTTAGGCGGTAAGTTTTGAGTTATTATACTTTTAACCTAAGTCTTCTCATTATGAAATTTGATTCCAATATTGAAAAATAGAAAGATTATTGCCATAATAGCCTTATAAGGTTTTTCTTTTAGATAGGAGCTTTTGCCTCGAAAAATATCTAAGAATATTGTGCAAATAGGAGGTTTTGTCAGAATGACTTCACACGGCAAGAAAATTTTAGCTATGATAACTACCAACCAAAAATCCAAAAGTGATATTGATAATAATGAATTTAATAAGACTGATGAATAAACCAAGAATACTAATGATAATAAAGAAAATAAGACTTATAATGAAACTAACTGTGATAATATTAACGTCATTGAACCTACCGAAAGTACAAAAAAAAATAAAATTTGATATTGAAAATCTACCGGTGGTGATGCTAGATGGACAGAATGAGCTAGAGAATTCTAAAGAAGATAATGAAGAAAACAATCTTGTTTCCCTGTGCTTTGATAGCCTGTTGGAGGATAACGCTACAGTATAGCTTGAAGAGGAATCATATATGTATGAGTTAGATGAAAATGGTGTGCTGATTAATCAAACTCTGCTAAATCCTTTGGAAATATCGATCAATTCAGAACTTGAACAATCAACAAATAATCTAGAAAGATCTGAAGTAATGAATGATTTGCTTGATAACAATGAAACTGGCAGTGAATCAGTGAGGAGTAGCTCACTAGAAAAAAACGATGGTAATTATTTGATTCAGCATTAAAATCAACAAAAGTATACTGACCTATTTTTTGTGTTTTAGGAGTCGTAGAACAGAATTACCAATCAACCTATGATAATGAAAAAGATAACGATTTAGACTACCAACCCGAATCGGAAATCAACAATAATAGTTCCGATTCAGAGGATTCGGAGATGATTGATCGAACAGAAAATGTCAATTTAGATGCAGAAATTGGGAATCAAGAAGAAAATAATAAGGCGCGTAAAAGAAGATTAGTTGCCAATTCGGAAGAGTGGAAAAGAAATAAAAATAAAAAACTAAGGCTAGAAGGAAAACCTTATCTCGGTTTTAGCAAGAAGAAAGGAGAGAAAATGAAGCAGGATACTCAAAGGGTTGAACGAAGATTGAAAGAAACATGCAAATCTACAAAATGCAAAAAAAGTACTAAGAGATTTTGTCAACAATTTACAGAAGAAACACGACAAAAATTTTTAGTAAATTTTGGAACGAAACGGATTGGGGTCAAAGAAAGGTTTTTGTATCTTCGAATGTAATCAAACAAAATACTGCACGGGGTAGAGAAGCATCGCGAAGACAGGGTACATACTTATATTATTTTAATTCAGGAGACAAAAGACTTCAAGTTTGTAGGCAAATGTTCATAAACACTTTAGACCTAGGATATAAAACTATCCAAGATTGGGTAAGTAAGGGCACATTTGGCATGGGTTCCGAATCTTCCAGGAACACCAACTATAAGAGGGATAAATACGCTAATCAGTACAAAAATCTAAATACATTTTTTGAGCAGTTACCTAAGTTGCCAGCACATAATTGTAGAAAAGATACCTCAAAACTCTACCTAGAGCAATCCTTCCAGACGTTCACTGATCTTTATAAAGCTTACACAGACTATTGCACAGAAGTTGATGCTGGTCAGCCTCTCAACAGAAAAAATTTCAGAAAAGCGCTTAAAGAGAAAAACCTCTCTATATTTTCACCTAAGAAGGATCAGTGCAATACTTGCTTTTCCTATAAATATAATAACATTGAGGAGTCAAAGTGGAAAACACATTGAAAATAAAAATAAAGCTAGGGAAGAAAAAATCAAAGGCAAAAAGTTAGCAGAAGAGGGTAAATATATTGTTTTGACAATGGATTTGCAAGCGGTTAAGTTGTCGCCTTATGTTCCTGCAGGAAAACTTTACTTCAAGACAAATTTATGCTGTCATAATTTCACTATCTATGATCTTGCCACAAGGGACGTCGCATGCTATTGGTTTTCTGAAGATCAGAATAGTGACTTATGTGCATCTACGTTTACAACGTGTATTATTGATCATTTAGAATCCAAATGCATAACAGAATCCAAAGTACCAATTATCATCTACTCTGACGGATGTGGTTTTCAAAACCGAAACAAAGTGTTGGCGAATGCTTTGCTGAACTTGGCAATGAAACATGAGGTTACCATTTACCAAAAGTATCTTGAACTGGGGCATACCCAAATGGAATGTGACTCGGTTCATAACCTAATTGGTCGTAAATTAAAAAACAGAGAAATTCTCTTACCAAGTGATTATTGCTCAGTGTCAAGAGAATGTAGGGTTACTCCTAGACCTTATGAAGTAAAGTTGCTGGAATTTAATTTCTTTAAAAACTATGCAGAAACTAAACATTTAAGATACACTTCTCTCAGACCTGGCAAAAGAGCCTATGAGCCAGTAATAAATGACATAAGATGTATCAGATACACTGCGCTGCCAACTCCTGAAATAACTGTTAAGCTTTCCTATGAAGAACCCTATATAAGTCTGCCAGTTAGGCCCAAATCGATCTCAGTTACTGATTCATACCCACCCCTGTTAAGTGCACCTAGCAAAATTAAAAAATCTAAATGGGAACATCTACAGGAACTTAAATCGGTACTGCCTAAAGACACTCATGCATTTTATGCTAATAAGATGTAGTTTTTGTTGTTGTGTTGTGTTAATCTTAGTTTGTTTTACTGAATTTGAATGTTTTTTTATTTTGTGTTAATCTCAGTTTATTTTACTGAATTTGGATATTTTTTTATTTTGTTTTTTTGTATCTATGTACCTACTTTTGAATATTTTTTATATTTCTTAGAATTTTTAGAAATGCAATCCTGAGTTACTTTTCAAAATAATAAAACTAATGTAAGCTCAATTTTTCCTTCATTTCAATAACTCCCTTTATACCAAAAATCGAGAGCATAATGTCCTATATTCCAACTTTATAAAAGCAATCGCTCCTAAGTGCATTTAAAACCAATGGTGTTACAATTTTTTCTCAACTATCATAAAAATGTTATTCTTGTGTACTATTTTATCATCATTCCAAATAAAAAAACAATCTAGCAAGCCATTCCAGAGTTACATAGTTTTTATGACGTCCTGAAAAGTGAGGCAAGATAACATAGGAGGTATTGCCAGCTCACCCGCGATATATCTCTGTAAAAACGGAAAAGTGATAGCAAGCTTCTTATTTTTTTGCAAACATGATCAATGTGGTAGTCCCATTTCAAATGACTATCAATATATATCCCTAGGTATTTAATATGATTGCAGCTTTTAATCTGGTTAATCCGTTGGTCAGTGGGTAAATTAATCGTGCAGTAAAGAGGTAAATTACTTTGGTAACTACAGAAAGGCATGAAATATGTTTTTGTGAAATTTATACTTAATAAATTATTATTAAACCAGTACACGAATTGAGGAAAATCGTTTCTTATCAGTGTTTGTAGGTCTTCCCAGGTATCTGCTTTGTAGTGAACTACAGTATCATCACAGAAACTGACCAAATCAGCCTGACTGTCAACTTTGTATACATCATTAATGTAAATATTAAATAGTATAGGACCCAGGACTGTCCCCTGAGGAACACCACAGTTCACTTCCAAAGGATCACTTATACGATCTTCTATTTCTACCCACTGTTTCCTTCTGTCCAAGTAGCTCTCAAAAATGCTCAATGCCCTTCCTTCAAAACCAATGTTTTTGAGTTTCTTCAACATTAGAGGATGCGAAATTGTGTCAAAGGCTTTAGCTAGATCTACGAAGACGCATATTGACGGAATATTTTTATCAACACAATTGTATACTTTTGTAATTAATTCCGCAATAGCATCATCCGTTTATCTACCTTTCTGAAACCCATACTGGTGTTTGGAGAGAATGTTATGTGCTTCTAAGTGAGCTACAATACGATCTTTTAATATTTTTTCATAAACTTTAGATAAGTTGCTCACTAGTGCAATTGGCCAGTAATTTGATACATCTTTTTGATCTCCTGACTGTGTGGCTTATTAACTGCCTCCTTGAAACTATCTGGATAAATTCCGTCCGAAATTGACTTATTTATCATAAATGTTAAAGGTTCGACTATAAAATGGCATAATTCTTTGAGAACTTCCGAAGTAATTTTGTCCTTTCCTGGCGATTTCTTAGGTTTTAGTGAATTTATGATTGTTTTAACTTCATTGGCCGTGGTCGCTGAAATGTCAATTTTATTGTTAATTTTAGTTTCAAAAAATATTTTGTTGTTTTCTGGTATGTTTTTCGCCAGATCAGAAGCTATATTAGCAAAGTATTCATTGAACGTGTTGGCAATATCTGTTTGGTCAGTGTATTCTTTGTTTTGAGTGTCTTTAATCAAGTGTAGTTTTGGGTTTTTGTTGTTCTTATTGTTAATGGTATTCAAGCAGTTCCACAGTTTATTACGACAGTTTTTGTTAGCCTCTAGTTGATTTTTAAAGTATTTTATTTTAGCTGCTCTTAGTAAATTTGTAAGTGTATTTCATTTCTATATTTGTTAAATTCTTGTTTAATGTTGTTATCGTTTGGGCACTTTCGCACTTTCTGGTATAAATAAATTTTATGATTTATCGATTTAATTAATCCTTCTGAAATCCACTCTGTTCTTTTACGGTCTCTACTTTTCAGGTATTTATTCTGAGTGCACTTTTCAGTTGTTTGTCTTATTGAGTTTGAAAAATTTAGTGTACATGTATTAATACTTTTTTCATTATAAACATTTTCCCAACTGACTTTCTGAATTTCTGATTTTAATAGCGTAATATCCAGGTAAGATTTATATTTTGACCTCCCAATATCATTTATATTTTGAAGAAAACATTTTAGTTGGATTATTTGGGAATAATGGTCACTTATCTTTGTTTTTAACACTAACGAAGTGAAGGATGGGTTTGGAATATTGGTTTTCAAAAATATATGATCCATACAACTTCTGGATTCTCCAAATTCCCTAGTAAAACTATTTATAGTTGAGATATAGCCCCATTCTTCCAAACAATTCAGATACTCATCCCTATAATCTGTCACTGTCAGCAAGTCTATATTAATGTCCCCCAAAAAGATGTCAATATCATACTTTTGTTTATGAATTTGTTGAAACAGTGTATACAAGTTGAGATTAAGAAAAAGCATTTACGTTTTTCATATAATTTATTGTTCAGCAGATATGTAATTTACCATGATTAACTTTATTTTTTGATTCTGCTACCATTAGTAGTAGAATTTTTAATTGAAATACCTTTTAAAAATGAAGCTAGAAAGAAAATCAGCAAGTGATAGATTTTCAATTGTTACCTAAGCGACTATTCCGGTTACCGGTATTTAATTAAAAATAGACCACTACTAACAGTACGACGAAGTACGAACTAACTAATATAAATGATTATCGGAATATTTGACTATTGGAATACCTATTAGACTATTCGAATATTCGACTTTTTGACTATATATTCGAATATTCGACTATTCGAATATTTGACTATTCGAATATTCGACTATTCGACTATTCGAATATTCAACTATTCGACTATTCGAATATTCGACTATTCGAATATTCGACTATTCGAATATTCGACTATTCGACTATTCGAATATTCGAATATTTGACTATTCGAATGAGTATTCAACTATTCGACTATTCGAATTATTCAGCTTTTCGAATAAAATACCAAACGACTATTCGAATACTTGAATTTTAAAAATTCCGAGCCCTAAAACGAATACGCCACTAGGGCAGAACCTCCAAATTTTTGGGCCACGAGCCACCACTGGTTTGGCTGTAGTTAATTTCAGTGTTATAGTATTTTTAATATCCATTTGGAATGACTCCATCCTCATTTATCTATCACGAAACTGATGAAACAAAAAATTACCAATAAAAATGAACGTCGATTGCTTATACGTCAATTTCATGTACATAGGTATAGGAAATTCCTAACCTAACTTCAAAGACTGCCTCTCAAAAAGTAGCTCGGAGCAGTCATCTAGGTGAACACGCAGTGATGAATAAGTTGTAAATGATCGCATAATAGCAGATGCTAATGCAATGGACATATCACAAATGACTTCGTTTGGCATCTTTGCTCCATCTCGTTTCCAAAATTGAAGCCAGTGTGTATGTATAGCCAGTATATACTGTCAGAATCGAGTCTTTCTGAGAGCATGTTGCATTCCGATTACTGCATTCCAGTTTTTCGATCATTGACAGTAATGTCATATAAAAAAATAACTTTGGATTTCTCGCCGCTTGGTTTTGTAATACAACGGACTACTGCTCCTGTATTTTTGAATAAGTAGTTGTTTGTACTTACATAGTTATTGTATATGTTACAGGAAATATCCGATTTCAGACAATTCTAGTTTGGCCTAGGATGTACTAAAAGTTCCTAGCGTTGTTATTTTTTGTTGTATTATTTGAATCATATTTACTGCTAATAAATGTGTTCCATTTTAAGTTGAAAAGATAGAAACTTTGATATTCAGTTTAGCTTTTAAATATAGTCCTTTCAGAGAAAAGTTTTACTTTGGTTTCTTTACCCTTTTAACCTGAAATACAGGGTGTCCGAAAAGGTTTTTACGATTTGTAAAAATTATAACTTATCAAGTTTGAGATTTATTTTAAAAAATAAATAAATAAAAATAAACTACAAACTGTGGAAATTGTATTAATGAAAAATTATGCCGTCGAGGTGCTGCCCTTCCATGCGAATCGTCTCCTCCAAACGACCTCTGAAGTTAGTAAACACACGGTTGCAGAGTTCTTATGGAATTGCTCAAATTTCGTCGCGAATTCTTTGCTTCAACTGATCCAAATTTGCAGGGATTTGAACGTACACTTTTGATTCAAGAAAACCCCACAAAAAAGAATCCATGGGACTTAAATCGAAACTTCTGGCGGGGTAATTGACGTCACCATTCTTCGATATAAGCTTTCCTGGAAACATCCTTCGAAGGATCCCCATGGAAAGATTAGCAGCAAGCGTTTTGATTGAATCCACGAAAATTTCGCAATTTTGATAAATTTAATGCGGCTGCTTGTTTTCTTATTGAACGGCGAGGCGTTCGCCTAACTGCTTCTCGAACGTGCTCGATATTTTCCAGACTTCTACCAGCTCTAGGTCGGCCAATATGGCTGTTATTCACTGTTGTGCCTTCTGCTTCAAATTTTCTAACCCAGTGTCCGAATAAAGAACGTGCCGGAGCTTGATTAATGTCGTGTAAATTGGAATGTGCACGAAAAAGGCGACGAACTTGGATGTAAGAATGGTTGTTCTCATAAAATGCTTTCACACAGAAAGCGAGCTGCGGCCCTGTGGATCGCTCCAAGGTTACTGAAATTCCAAGATGCAAGTTCAGCATTGCATCTGCTCGGATTTCCTCACTCCTAACGGTTCTCGAGAAATATAACAAAGAAATCGTAAAAACCTTTTCGGACACCCCGTATATTTTCATAATATGATAGAAATTTATTGGAACACATACAGTGACCGCCGAAAAGTTTGCAACAAATGGGGAAAATATTTTATTATTGAGATATCAAAAAAAATGTTACGTGGGCTCAATTCAGCATACCCATCAACAAAAAAAATAACAACAATTAATCATCACTCAATTTAAAAAAGCTCTTCCCCGGG